CGTACTCCCAGAAGGAGGTTATGTTCCTTGGTGAGATCGAGGAAATTCTGGACATTATTGATCCGAATCAATTTAAGAAAATCATGGTGCCGCTGTTCCGTCAAATAGCGAAATCCGTTTCGAGTTCTCATTTTCAGGTAATTTAATCTTGTCCTCAATGCATCCTAATGTTATCTATGAAAGTTAGTGTCCTGAAGTTTCTGGCATTTTTGAGCAATAACTCCACTCTTGATAATTACGGCTGATTGAACTTCGTGGTTATTCATCACCGCTCATCATTATTTTCATCTCCTTGAAACAATCTGAAAACTAAGAACAATTTAGGGCGGCCATGTGTTGAAGCGCAGTACAATACACGATTAACGACGTACGCTACTACATGATCCGATCAAACTGAAATGGGAAAGCGTAATAATCCTCCCTCCATCGTAAAAACTCTTCACGTTTTAATTCGCGTATTGTCTCTCTGTTTTATCAACTTGACATACTGTCAGTGATTCTTCTAAACGCATAGTTAGGCGCAGCCCTTTTTGCCTTATGGTACTGCTTTGCATGGTTATAGTCTAAATATTGCCCTCATCTTTCCAGGGAAGGATTTCCACTTGGGGGTCGCAGAGGCAGTTTTACCTGTTAGTCTGGCTGATAGTTATCAGAAACTTCGGTTGAGATTCCAGTGATAATTGTGACAAGTGTAAACTTAAATCCGAAGGAACACTCGTTGCTCCTGTAGTATTATGGGGCATTGCTTTTAGAACAGTGATAAATGAAAGCCGTATTTTTCCGTGGCCAATTTTGCGTGCTATGGAGTGCTTCTTCACGCGCCACCGTATAGTTTTGGTCAAGAACTGAACAGACCATTCTCCCCATCTTGCTGGTTCCTTATACTCTCAACGACTGGTGTAAAGTGCTGAAACTACGCGGAAAATAAGATACCTCCGAGGAGCTTGACTACTGACCTGAGTGCCCTGTACTCTAGTTCAGTACATGACTTGTGGTAGAATTACTTCCTATGAGGGTTAGTTGAAAAATATGCAAGCACCTCCTGTGAATAAGCCACCTCGGCACAACAACAACAGCAGTGCTGTCAAAATGCTGAGGTTTAAAAACCCCATTAGTACATAGTATCAGAGTTTGACGACCACAGGTAGACTTCTATCGCCCCTGCTTTTAAGCTATTTTCATCAAATGGGTTGCATAATATAGCTTGCCCATGAGTATTCGTGAAGTGCGAGCCCATATGTGAACTTCGTTTGATGCCGTAACTCTGGAGCGTAGACCGTATCAATACCTAGAAGTGCCTTAACAAGTATCAAAGTAAATCTGAGACTACGACCATCGAAACGCCAGCAGTCAGAGCAAGGAATAATCGAAACACTCATATCCCGCCATCTAGCGCAACGGTTACAATTTAACTTGACCTCTCCTAGTATAATCGATACAACGGCGGTACTAATTGTGACTAGACGCAATCTGGAAACACAACTAATGTCCATAAGAGCCTTTGTTTCACAACTCGAAGAAACCATTTTATACTCATCGTTCGAGGGATGACCTAGACTTACCCCGTTAGCCAACGCTTCATCGTTTAGTAATTGAGACCCGACTCACAAGCTGTTCACGCTCATGCCACATACACGATCGAGCAAAATACGTACAAAGAAAAGCGATTTAGATGGTGAAAATATATAATGTCTTAGCAGAGTATGCACTCACACACTTCCTCGCGGTTTATGTCGTCACAATACCCCACCTTCAGATTAATATTAAGTATAGGTGTGGGTATAGGTATAGTAGTGGGTATAGGCCTCCTTTTACGTGCACAAATATGTATGCGTGTTCGACCATCGATTTCGGTGAAGTTCACCAAGTGCACCAACAGGCTGGTACAGGAGGTGACGACCTCACGGGGTAGGTTATAGTGATAGCGAACGTAGTTAGCGCCAACCGCACTCCTCACCGCCCGGGGTCAAGATGACCAAACGGGACCCAGTGTTGGCCGCTTTCTCCAATGCAGGCCAGAAACATCGCCTAACTTAGTCATAAGTGACAGTAGACTTTGCTCAGGAACTCCTGCACTACTTACCCTCACTCCCTTTCAGCAGGTGTCTAGAAAGACTCGAGGGCACTGAGTGTGATATTGCTAATAATATTTATATGGCTGCTTACTAGTAATATAGCTGAGTGAAAGTAGTGCTGATACTATTACTGACGCTACTTATTGGTCAAAAATAACACTGAATAGAATCAGCTTTGGGCTCTTGTTCTCTCGATCTCAACTAGGAGTTTGGACCTGGATTTATGCTATTCTGAGTAAAGTAGATGTTTGAGGTTCAGAGCACATCAATGCCGTAGTTTTTAGCCCCTTTCCCTCTACCTCTGTTCAACGAAACGGTTCAGTTTTTCCTTAAGTGTAGATTACGAGGGCTAAGATACTACTGCTAAAAGTAGTATGCTAATGTCAGGAGTGCTAATTGTTATAATCACACTTGCTATGGCCAGTAATTAGTGTACTACAATGCGGCCTGTATGTGCATGTAGGAAATTTAAACCTAGTATTCAGTCGTAAGCTATATGGTGGATTTTAATAAACTAAAGGATTAAAGAAACGTTTATGTAATAATAGCTGAAGATCTACCATGTAAGAAAGAGGCATTTGCCATTTTGCAGGCTATCTTTGACGGTCTACAGTGCCTAGCTCAGCCTTAGAATTTACAGAACATCGTCTCTCCAAATAGGTACACTGCAAGTACGGTCCTAAAGGACAACAGTATGACTACAGTGCAGCAGGAATAGTGTAATATTAGTGATAGTGGTTATAATAGCGATTTTAATTCGTATAGTCCAGAGGGAACTGTTACCGTATTGGATCTAACGAGCGCGTAAATATACACGTAGGAAGTGGGCTTCAGATATGGATGACAGTGGAGACGGCCTGACTAATGCCTGTCAATATCCGGCGATTAAATCTACTGTCGAGAAAGTCCGATTACCCGACATGGCATCTAGGGTTTCATCTGTCCGAGCGAAAGGCGAATCATCTTTTGTAGTCACTGGGTGTAGCTTTCGATAGACAAAGCATAGCCCCAGAGTACCGTCTTTCTGCACGATTAGCTCAACTTTTACCATGCCTTTACCGTTATCAAGTTAACTATAGAATTACTACCGTATCCAGCTATAGTTTGGAATTTATAAAACGTCTCCTATCTAAATAAGGGCACAACGTGTTCCAGAATTAGCTGAGAATGACAGTATGGTATTTCCTATATTGTAACTATCTGAGTGATAAGACGTAAGCATAGATGACGGGAATATGTACTTACGAGTGATGTAGCCGTTAAAAGTCACTTGATAAAGTTTTGTGTCGGTCGAGCGCCCAGATTGGTTTGTGAGCAACCAATAACTCGCGGTTTTGCACGCGACAGATCAGCCATCAATTTTGATTATTCCCAACTTATGCTCCAAACAGGTTGCTGCAGTGACTTGAGCGAGAGTTAGGTTTTAAGTGATAGTGGACTTCCCGCAGCATCAACCGCACTCTCTTCCCTCATCCATCTAAGTCCAGTGTCGCTCTGTCTCACCTAAGGTTCGTAGAGCGTCCCACTTATTTGTGCGGACATGCGAATATACTATGCTGCTAAATGGTGAATTTGTTTCCAGTCGGTATATTTATCTTGAAGTAGGTATGAGGCAATTAACATTGACTAGAGACTACCTTAGGCGCGGCTTTATGAAGTACAAAGTTGAATATAGAGTCGTATCACTCAATTATTTTTTAACAGATAAACCTCGTCTCTAAGGGTTTTCAACTATTTTTAACTGCAGTCATGACGGCCGATCCCTCTAAATTCTCATACAAAAAATTGAACAGAGGGCTGAAGGGATAAACCCCTGTTTACAAAAATTGAACGGCACACGAATCCACTTTCTAGGCATTCATCGGTATTAACTATTGTCTGCAGCCATTCTGCAATTTGTTTTCAAACACAAACCCCCCTAACGTTATCCTTCTTATTTTTGCCCGCGTATACAACTGCCCATTGCCTGAGATGACGTTTGGTTAGCAACTAAACCTGACAATGCTGACCGTTTTGTGGTCCGAAGTGATCTGCCCCATATAAAAACACAGCACCTACCGACTTTTTGGATGTTTTTTTAAAATCTATACCAATTCTTGGCATAGTCGAAACTCGAGTTTAAAAAAAAAACTTTATAAAGTACTCGTGCAGCCCCCCACAGCTAGACCAACCAGAGTGCCTTTCTTAATCGGAATGCTAGTCGTAGGTCATTCCTATTGTCCTTCTGGCTAAATGTGTACCTC